GAAACTTGTGTATAATGCAGTAATGAATGAGAGAATTTATGGCTGGTAATTAACCGATGAAGTGCAGCCTAATATTCAGGCCTGCACGTGCATGTCCGTATTTTAAGGGAGCAGAAACAGTAGGGGTGCTTCCTAGAAGTCTACAATTGGGTTGTACAGTTATTGTACCGAAATAAGTAGAATAGAAATTTATAGTGGTATGGACTAAAGGAATATAAATAAATGTAAAACAAAAATACTGGTATGCAAAGAAAGAAAAAGTAGTAAAAGAGTGAATATAGGAGACGAAAGATAAGAAGTGGTTGATTTTAGGTATCTAGGAAGTCAGATAAGTCAGAACGGAAGGAGTAGTAGGGATATAAAGCAGTTGATAGCCCAGGGTTGAGTCGGCTTCAATAAAAAGAAGTCACTTCTATGCTCGCGAACGATTAATTTAGAAATTCGAAAAAGATTGTTAAAGATGTATGTTTGGAGCGCGGCGCTGTGAAGGGTGCGAAACAACGACGGCGGGGGCGGCGAAAAAGAAAAGGTTAGAAACGTTCGAAATGTGGTATTACCGGCGAATGATCAGGATATCGTGGATAAAGAAGGTTGGAAATGAAGAGATATTAGAAAGAGTAAGAGAACAGAGTCAAATAGAAATAGGTGAGATAAGTTAATAGGACACCGGAGTTAAAAGGAGTAGAGATGGACCTAGATTAGATTACAGTTTGCAAATAGTTAAGGATGTGGGATGTTCTAGTTTTAGGAAAATGCGAAGATTAGCTCAGGATAGGAAGGTGTGGAGGTGCGTTTCCAACCAACGACCTTACGATGAGGACTAACAAGTATTCCTACCAACCTATCACGCCTATTTTTTATTGACTTCCATAGAGTCCTCCATTCTTCTATTTTTTCTAATACCTCTTCATTTCTAACCTTCTCTATCCACGGTATCTTCATCAAGAAGTGTTAATGAAAACAAAATTTGACTTTAATTGAAGATAAAAAAGAGCATTTTAAATTTTTGTCATTGCAGCTTGTTCAAGCCAGTAAAATTGACTCGTTGATATATCTTCTTCTATCACACAGACGGTCCTTGGCTCTATTCCGGGCCGAAATTGTTTTTTCTTCTGAATTAATGATCATTATTTGTAGATTTCACTGATTCAATTGATTTTTCAGCTTTTCAGTTAATATTTGCTAACGTGAAAATTAGTGAAAATCCACAATAACTTTATTCTGCCTAGGCGTTAATAGTTATTTGCCTGACCATATTACAAACTGCTCGAGTCTTCTGATTGAATGCGACATATTCATCATTTGGTACTGTAAACGTCATCACCTCAAGTTTATCTATGTGTTTGCCCAAGGAAGCAAAACGAAGCTCAAGGTTTCCACGGTAGTTAGTCCGTATCGGATCGCGCCCAGTGCTTCTGAAATGGTTCCCAAAACTAATATACGGGTCTTCAATGGTTCCGCGGTAATTTTATTGCGGTCCTACGGTTGTTCCGGTTCCGTGACGTATTTACTTAATTTGTCGCAGTTGTGTATGGGGTTGATGCACTTTTAGGAAAGGCGAGGCGTATTGTGTGGCGTGGCATGCCATCGGTATGTACTGTGGTGGTCTCCATTTTAAAGGTGATTATCTCTCAACCATGCAAGCGAAACCAACGTTTCCATAAAAGTAGATTTTGTCTAGTAGATATTATTCAACCTCGAAAACTACACACAATTCGTGGCATATTATGCATCCAGCTATTTATATAAACCAAAGCATACCAAAGCTGTTAGAGCAGAACTTAAAAATTACTACAAAGTCAGTGGCTTATTTAGATTCAGAGCTGTAGTCAATCGGTCAATTGCTTTGAAACTATAAGAACAATTAAAAATTATTATTAAGTATTAATACTACCTATGGTAACGTGCCTATCACGTTGTGGTGAGCTACGCCGGGATTCGTTTCAGCAAGTAGATATCCATATTTTTAAATGGACCTTGCTGGAGCATACGTAATCCTAAAATGTAGCATCGTACTACAGATGGCGTTCACCACGCCATTGGTGGTATTTTCTAAAACGCGCTGTTAAGACAGCAGGTAAAGGTTGGTCCAAAAGGATCGAAATCGCGATCCGCGTCTGGCAGTTTCGAATTATTTTATTCAATACTACCTAATATTCACCTCCAATTTTATCGAATAAGTAAAAAAAAAACTATTTTAAATAGCCTAAATTACAGCAATTTCAACATAAAATTATCGTTAGGCTTAACACAAGTAAAAAAGGATGCAATTAAGTACTTTAAACTTTCTCTTATTAAATTCACACAATATTTCTTAACATCGAAAAAAGTAAACATAATATAAATGAATGAAATCAGTTACCAAATCAAATTCCTTGTAGACTTTCTACAAGCACTTATTATTCTCTGAGCTATTTATTTATTTAATAATAGTATCGCACTTTTTGAGGTGTTTTTAATATCGTTTCANCCTTTGGACTGGATAGGTACATAATCCTCTGAACGCAAAGGGTTTCAGGAACCAGGAATTATTTGGAACAGATAGATACATAATCCTCTGGACGCAAAGGGTTTCAGGAACCAGGAATTATTTGGAACAGATAGATACATAATCCTCTAGACGCAAAGGGTTTCAGGAACCAGGAATCCTTTGGAACAGATAGAAAAATAATCCTCTGGACGCAAAGGGTTTCAGGAAGCAGGAATCCTTTGGAACGGATAGGTACGTAATCATCTGGACGCAAAGGATTTCAGGAAATAGGAATCCTTTGGAACGGATTGGTACATACATGTAAAATTAGACAATATTTATGTGATTAATCTGTTACAGCATCATCCAAAACATGCCGAGCGTATGCATCAATCGGCAACTAGTGTCAATATATATCAAATAATGAAGCATAACGATCTGGACAGAGCCGTGAAATACGCGTTTAGGTGGCAACTGCTGCAATTAAATTAATTTGTATAAGGCAGCGAAACAGTAAAGGAGGCGGCGCGTCTTTAATCCCATGATTAATAGTTTTTATCATACCGAAAAAAATGCCACATGTGGCTCATTTGAATAGACTCTCGCGATTCGCCGACTCCACAGATGGTGAACAGCTGAGCGCCTGGTAGTTTTGTAGTGGGGTAAGTTGAAGGCGGAGTTTCAAATCCCTACTTTGAAACGGAAACACAAACTGCCCCTTCAGTTTCACTCCAACTCTTGATGGAAGTGGAAGTAGCGAACGCGCGTCAAGTTTTAGTTACATGCTGCCGTGGCAATGGTCTGATTGCCGGACGATCGCGAACTACGAAACCAACTCATGAAGAAAGTTATTATTCTGTGATATTACAATTTTTTTAAAGACTTTATACAAAATGTGGCCGGCGATGTTCGCATTACCAGTCTTTTTGTGCGTTATTTTGGTTGTGACGGTGTTGCGTGTGGAATGCCGGACTTTAATAAGTGACCGGCAAACTCCGAAGGGATGCGAATGGCAAATGCAGAGAATAGAAGAGTCCGATGACAAAGAAGAACCTGTTCTCGTGTGCCAGATCCGAACCATCAACGCCGCAGACGGACTTTTGGCCAATTTAACCCAAAATCAGGCAGATCGTATTACGGCCCTTCGGCTAGAATGCAGCGACGTCTTTTTCTTCGAAAGCACTTTGGAACGCAGCAAGTACAGCTCAAACTTTCTGTCCCACTTGAGACGACTGAGGGATTTGCGGATCGAGTTTTGTAAAATTCGTAACATTCCATCATCCGTTTTCACTTCTCTACGAGAACTCAGACGATTCTCGCTGAGATCCCACAACTCCGACTGGTCCGCGATGACTCTGGAACTGCATTCCGAAAGTTTCCGGAATTTGGGAGAGTTACGAAGTTTAGATCTTGCAGATAACAATATCTGGACTACGCCGTCAGATTTGTTTTGCCCCATGTACAATCTGAAACGGCTGAATCTCACGAAAAATAAAATCCAAGACGTTGCATCTCTCGAATTCTCAGACTGGGGTAAAGGTCCACTGGCCCCAGGGCATGCCTGCATAAACGGTTTAGAAATATTGGATCTTTCCGATAACGCCGTCATCTCCATCCCAGACAACAGTCTTACCGGTCTTCGTGCTTTGGAGGAACTCCATCTACAAGAAAACGCTATTTCCACGTTGGGCGATCGAGCTTTCGTGGGTCTCAGTGGTCTTCACACCCTAAACTTGTCCAGTAACGCAATCGTTGCACTTCCTCCAGAACTGTTCCAATCGTCTCGCGATATTCGGCATCTTTACATACGAAATAATTCGTTAAGTGTCCTCGCGCCAGGACTATTAGAAGGACTCGATCAATTACAAGTGCTCGACCTGTCAATGAACGATTTGTCGAGTCGTTGGGTGAACAGAGACACGTTTTCCGGTCTGGTTCGTTTGGTTGTGCTAAATCTCGCGTTTAATTCGTTAACGCGTATCGACTCGAATGTGTTCCACGATTTGTACAGCTTGCAAATATTGAATCTAGAGAACAACAAAATAGACTTTATAGCGGAAGGTGCCTTCTCCGAACTAAAAAATCTCCACGCTTTAACGCTTTCGCATAACAATTTGGTCGAAATTGATGCCCATCATTTCTCTGGTATGTACGCTTTACACCAATTACTACTGGATTCCAACAAAATCGAGTCTATTCATCCCGATGCGTTCGAAAACGTAACGAATCTGCAAGACATCGGCCTGAATGGAAACGCGCTGGGAGGTGTGCCCCAAGGATTAGGAAGGCTCCGATTTCTAAGGACTTTAGACCTGGGAAAGAACCGCATCGAATCTGTTACTAATTCTTCGTTCGAAGGCTTGGATCTGTTGTACGGTTTGAGGCTCGTCGATAATCTCATAGTGAACATTTCTAGAGACACGTTTTCATCTCTTCCATCTCTGACTGTTCTGAATTTGGCCTCTAACCGCATCAAATACGTCGAACAAAGTGCTTTTGCGAGCAATACGGCCCTGAAGGCGATAAGGTTGGACAGTAACGAACTAACCGACATAAGTGGCGTGTTTACCAATTTACAAACTTTAGTTTGGTTGAACGTATCTTCGAATAAACTCATGTGGTTCGATTACAGTCATCTGCCAACCAGCTTGGAATGGTTGGACATGCACGAGAATGAAATTAACGAGCTGGGTAATTATTACGACGTACGTAATACGCTTAAAATAAAAATGCTAGACGTAAGTTTTAACTTGATCAGTGAAATAAACGAGAACTCCATTCCAGACAGTGTCGAAACTCTATTTATAAACAATAATCGCATTGCGACCGTGCATCCTGGAACGTTTTATAAGAAGCTGTCTCTCGAAAAAGTCGTCCTTTACGGCAACAATATAAAAAACCTGGACTTGGCTGCGCTAAGTTTAACGCCCGTAAACAACGATAGAGATCTGCCGCAATTTTATATCGGCGGCAATCCGTTTTATTGCGACTGCAGCATGGAGTGGCTTCTGCGTATTACGCGCTTAAGTGTTCTAAGACAGTATCCTCAAGTGCTCGACCTGGACGATGTTATGTGTGAACTTTCCCACTCGCGAGGCGCCCAACCGCAGCCGTTGCTCGAAATGAAACCTAATCAGTTCCTGTGCCCGTACGAATCGCATTGTTTCGCACTGTGCCACTGCTGTGATTACGACGCGTGTGACTGTGAAATGACCTGTCCGGACAATTGCACTTGTTATCACGATCACACGTGGTCTTCGAACGTGGTCGATTGTGGAAACGCTGGATACACGCACGTCCCAGAACGAATACCGATGGACGCGACTGAAATTTATCTCGACGGAAACGACCTCGGCGAACTAGACAGTCACGTCTTCATAGGCAAAAAGAAACTGGAAGTTTTATTCTTGAACAATAGTAACATAAAAGCGCTACATAATCGGACATTTAATGGTGTCAAGTCTCTACGGGTGTTACACATGGAAGACAATCATCTGAAAGAATTGCGAGGATTCGAGTTCGATCAACTGGAAAAGATACAAGAACTTTATCTGGATCATAACGAGATCGCGTACGTCGGAAACAAAACGTTCAAAAACATGCATAAATTGGACGTGCTGAAGTTGAACGATAACAAGATTGTTGACTTTTCACCTTGGAAACAGTTGCCGGAAACTTCCGATTCCGGTCCGGCTCCTCGTGTTGTTCTAGACGGCAACAAGTGGTCGTGTAAATGTGCGCAGTTAGGTAAACTGGATGCGTGGATTCGGAGCGTGGATAGCGATTTATCAAAGTTAATGTGCGCCGATAGCGACGGCGAGACGCTCGCCGACGCCGCGCGTCGTTGTGAGACAACCGAAAACGTGATCGCCACGTCGATCGTCCAAAGGGAACTCTTGCCAAGCAACTCACTCTTAGGTGGCAGCTTTGCCCCACTTTTGGCCGCAACCCTTGCAAGTGTTATTGTTTTATGTCTTCTAGTCGCCCTCGTGTTCGTGTGCAGACAGAACGTACGACTATGGGTGCACTCCAAATACGGCATCCGAATATTCCAAGAAGGCGTTCCGGATGATCCCAATGACGACAAGGATCGACTTTACGACTGCTATATGGTCTACAGCCACAAAGATGATGACATCATAGCGCGAACGATAGCCTCGGAACTGGAGCAATTAGGATACACCATGTGCCTACACTATCGTGATCTCCACCTACTCGGAAACACTTCCTACCTGACCGATGCGATGGTAGGCGCAGCGGATGCATCCAGGAGATGTGCTCTCGTCTTATCTCCCAATTTTATCTGCAACGAGTGGGCGCGTGGAGATTTCAAAGCGGCTATCCAATCCGCCTTACGTACAGCTGACAGACGCAAGCTTATATGCGTTCTTTACGGTCCATCGGAGCCCATGGATCCCGAATTACGAAGCCTTCTACGTGCTTGCATGGTTACCAGATGGGGAGAGCGTCGATTTTGGGAAAAACTGCGATATGCCATGCCCGATATCATGAACAATAAGTCATCCAGGGGCAAAAAGGGTTCTGATGTACGTTGTAAGCCCAATGCTCGATATACGCCGGCACCAACAGCAACCGATTCGTGGTACAAGTACCATTCCATGCCCCCAGGGGTGCATGGTAACCATTTAACGCCAACTCCTACTCAAAGCACTTATGTTTCCGGCGAATCCGCAAGAAGTACCGAAGACGAAGGTTCGAGTGCCGGAAGCCAACATTACGGGTCAGAACAACTGAATCATAGTTACGTTTCGATCGACGGACGACCTCCTCAGTATTCGCAGTATCCTCAATACAAGGAACCGCATCATGTGTACCATACCATTCCAGATAACAACCAATCGCAACAAAGAACTTATTTTGTGTAAACGTATAATGGAAAATGAATTACTAAAAGGCTGTTTTTTACTTAATTTTAATAGTCATTTACGAAACAATTTTTGCCTGTGAATTTAGTTTTATATTATGGCATCGATTCCTATGTGAATTTAAATGTGTATATATATTTTGTAAATATTATAAGAAAAAATAGTAATTTATTACACGTGAAAACTTGCAAATGTAGTCATTAAATTTAGACTGTACAGTGATCCAGCACTTTATGTATAAAAAGACTGTTCTATTAACTCGAATTTCAAATACTTATCTAAATAAATCGTCAATTCTTAATTCTTTTTTCTTGTGTTATTTAGCAATATCGATCTATTTCTCGATTATTAAAAGAAAATGTTACAGAAAATTCGAATTTTACGCTTTCTATCAGATGTAATTAATTCATGAAACAGAATTACAAGAGCTTACTAAAACAAAGTTTTAATAAATAAATAATCTATTGAACAAAAAATTGTTTCTGAAATTAATAAATTAATTGATCATTATTTTACTGACGCAACTCTTGTAAATTGTTCAACGTTAATAAATTGAATTTTCACAAACTGAAGTAGATGTACTCTTCTTCATAATTAATTAAATTAGTGAATGTAATTTTCTGTAT